TCCGCTTTCGGCGCTGCAAATGGTGGTGTTACTGGTTTGGTTGCTGTACCGCACTGTTTAAACACACTTGACAGTCCTTATTTTGTCTTATCATAGAAATAAATAAAATAAAAGTAAGGGATAATGTATAGCGAACCGGTTGTTATAGCGAACACAACCCCGCAAACTCTAACGCGAAGCGGAGGTGTCTTGAATCAGCCTGAAGGGGTTGTATTCGCTGTAACAACCGCTTACCTATACATTTTCCCACTTATAACATGGCTACCTACCAAATAAATCAATAATTTGACACAAAATATTGATTTAAAAAGGATTTTATTAATATAAAAGCGATTATATTACCGGAGTGAACAACTGCGTCCATAGCAGCACCATCTAGCTGTTAAAACACATGAAATGGTAAAATATGTGTTCAACAAAAAAAAAAAGGGCTAATGTTATATAAAGTCACCAGTAAAAGGGAACAGCTTTAAATCCCCCCTCTACAAATCAGTTGAGCCGATATGTTTAATGTCAAACACTAGGCTGTATCGAAAGGTAACTTCGCGTCCGCTGCCATGATCCAGATATAAACAAACTGCTTCGGTGTGTCGTGTATATACGTCTATCGTTTTGCTGCTCCCTATCTGTTCTGTGATTGGTTCCCTATATCAGGGGAAAATTTGGTCCATGATGTCGGGGCCTAGCAGTGTGAATAAAATTGCTCTGCGGCAATTGGCAGTATGGGGAAAGTACTAGAATTTAAGATGTATAATGACACTTTTTTTTCTTCTCTAGAATAACCTAAAACTGAATTGATCCATTTATTGATTCATACATTAGCATGGTTGCTGCTGCTATCCTATCAAAAAATGGCCTATCCAGTTCAATTAAAACATCACAGAGTCCCTCTTGACCTGTGGTTATTCGCTAAGCTGGTCTACTATTAAAAAATGTCCCTTTGGATACAGTTACAGTTGAGGAAGGTGAACCTCAGAGTTCAGCTCCATATCACATCTCTGAAGTTGACAGTAACTTGGGCTCGATGTCTCTGTCAAGCTCTTTGCCTCTGGCTACTGTCCTATGATTGGCAGTCCGGAGGGACATTCAGGAACTGGTGCTATTATAATTTCCCAAAAGGAATGTACGGTCAGAGTAAGAAATGTAATACCATGTTTTCAGAGGGACCCAGAGTCTGCATGGCTTCTGGTGGCAGAATAAAATGCATTTTAATGTGCAGTGTTTAATTTGCGCCCCCAGTCAGTGTTTAGTCGAATCCGTTCACTTTCTGCTACCCCCTTGTGGTGGACGCACACATTAACAGGATTTTCTTAATTTCAAAAAGCAATTTACTGCCCGAAAATGTTCTTGAAATTCACTTTGGCTGAAAGTGTCGCTAGTAAAACTCTAGTACTTGTCGTATTTTTCTGGCTTCGGCGCTGTGATTAAGTGTTCTTTCCAGTTCAGCTGGCATTAAAGGGGTTTGAAACCTTCACGAAGGTCATTATAGAGAGACGCTGGCAGGCCTGTAGTGGAATAAGACTCACTTGCTGCCTGGACAGAAAAAGACTGAAGGGTGCAAATTGTCATTGTTAAATTCCTAATTGCTGAGGTCCCGTCTTCAAAGGGCCCATCTGTGTGAGGTGGGCCATTGCGTGCTGCTGGAGTTTTCAAGGACAGTTAGTGAACCACTCATTGTGTGGTCCGCTGCTGTATAAGCTCTTAGTCGTCTTAGTACTTTACGAGTCAGTTTTCTTTTTGAATTGAGAAAAAAAGTGTAAGAAATGTGGTTGTGTGTATTTTTTGTAATGTGTAACAGACATTGGCACTGTTTTTAAATGCATTGTTCTTTTATATATGATTTCACAAACATCCCAAGGTGTATTAAAGGACATCCAAAAGCCTCAGTCAAGTACCTCTCTCGAGGGAACCCTAGGCCAAGAAGAGAAAAATTCATTAGTTCTGCCAATTTCAGGTTAAAATGAGTTTGAATGGCCTTTTTACATCATTGGAAGTTTTCCACTAATGGGACCATCATTATTAGAGGCAGCGAATGAAAGAAAAGAAGAGGGACTTTACAATGGAAAGAAAGCGACCACATGTCTGGTGTCCGTGATTCTGATTTGATCTGTCTGTTCAAAGATTTTTTTCTTTTCCATTAAATTACTGTTGTAGGATTACAACCATTGGGCCTTTTTTCCTCCATTGTTGTTTTTGTACTTTTCTTCTTTCTTAAGGAACAGAGCTTTCATGGATGTTGTTCTAATTGTTTTATTGTGTTCATTATCATCCAGCACGCACCAGTATTAAGATTACAAGAGATATTGGGAGATTAGTCCGGTTTATATGATACCATTTTTTTTTTCCATCTATTAAAAGAGCTTTGATCTGTTGGCTTGAGGAGAAAGATCCTTTTTTGTAGTGCAGTAAACAGCATCCAGAACTCATCAACTTCCTCCAAGAGAGGTGAATTGGGCTGGCCTGTACAGGGCCCCTGTAAATGTTTTATCCATCCCATAAAAGCCTGGAAAATGATACTGGAACTCTCGGAAAATCCCTACAGGCACAAAAGACGAGACTTCAAGAAATTAAAATTCCAAGTGTCAAATTTCCTGTTCCATGTGTACTTTTAAGTGTTGGCCATGACACAGAGACAGAATAGAGCTCATTAGTAAGCCTTCTGCTGTCAGGAATGGAAAAGTGATGTAATATTCGGACAAATTATAGCGATTAAACATCAGTAACCTTCGCTTTTCGTCAGATTTAATCACTGGACATATCTTCAGTTAGCAGTTTGATTGCAAATACTCCAATGTGACGTCCCCTAAACTAATACACTATTTATTTATATTTTTTTATAAAAATTATTTATAATTTTCTTTTATTTTTATGGACCACACTTCAGAGTAGGATAAATGTTCAATTAGTGTGTTGACTCAAACACAACGGTATTATTATCTTATTTTCCCCCGCATATGTCACTGATTTTACAATATGTCGTGGCAGCTTGAATGCAACCTAGCCAAGAAACAAGTTGTTGATCATGTTGACATGCGAGTCGTATTTTTGCTACTCATTGGAAACATGAGACTTACGCAGGCTTAAACCTTTGATCCTCCTTGGTGATCTTCTTTTGAGAAAAGAAAAATGGCCATTTAATATTTTCCCATTTCACACCAATAACAAAACACATGAGTAATGTTGTCATTAGCTGTGGACATGTAGGCGAGCTTTTCTTTCTGCGTTTGTAAATATTCCACTGGCATCGCGCTATTTTCCGTGAACCCGAGTTTTACATGTGGGTGGCAATCAGGTTGAGGCCATTTGTTCTTCATTTCCTGACTAAACAAATACACTGAGGTCATTCTTCATTGGTTTAGACCTTATTGCAGCGTGTTATCTGCAATATTCCTATACACTGACTGTATAGGAATATGTGTGGCATAATCTTTCTTGCTATATTTGTATTGTGTGTGAAATCTGTATGTGAAGGAGCTGACATTAGTTGAAGGGTTGCAGGATTTCAGTTGACCGCTTGCAGATGTTTTGACAAAGAGTTTTGTACCCATAATTAAGTAAGGGAACAGTGGCCATGTTACATAAGGAAAAACAGGGAGCCTCCTCTTAATTACAGTGCTTTTTTTGTTCTTTTCTTTTCCAAACTGCCTCCAAATGAAGATTAAAAACCATAGCACATTGTAGAGCTGCCTAAATTCAGGAGCTGCTGCTGTATCGCCATTAAATAATTTTATTTGTATTAATTTTTCCACAAATTGATTTATTTTTTAATCACCAGATTTCAGTTTATTTCATCCTTCTGCTTACAAATTGGAATCCTATGGAGTTAACTGTGGAAAATGTGTGTCATGAGTTTAAGAAGTTTTTATCCATGGATTTAAAACTTGGAAGTGAGAGTGGTAGAAAACAGCTCCTGTTGAAAGGAAGAAAAAATGAACACATTAAAAAAATGAAAAATGTTTTTTCCTATCAGCCATGTGTTATTTTCTGTCCACGTTAAGCTAGCTGAGAAGGCAATATTAAATACAAAGATAGCCCTGACAATTTCTAAAAAAAAAATACTTAAGAAATTTATAAAAATAAGATATTTATTAAAAAAAATATTTGTTTAATTAATGATTGTTTTATTTTGAATAAATTGTTGAAAAAGCCCAAATTAAGAAATGTTACTCTTGTTAAATGATTAAATCTTACATTATACCGTACACACACACACACACACACACACACACACATATACTGTATATATATATATATATATATATTTACACATACATTTAGAATATTTACTTATTTAATTTATAATGAATGTGTTCTAAATTAATATAATATCATATTTAAATTAATCTAAAATACTTGAACAGAAGTTGTTAAAGAAAAGCAAGATTTTGGTCTAACTCCTAGTCCAACCTGAGCTGAAAAGTGCAGATTTTCTTTGTCTAATGCAACAATGTAGATCTGAACACAGTTCAAAGAGATGAGAAAACCAGGAGAGTTGTGCAGCAATAATCACTGATGCAAAAGCATTAAAAAAGATGCAGTGGCATAAGGACATTTAAGAGAAGAGACCCCAACACATGAAAACAAAACCTGAAACCCTGTGAGCACAATAAGAGGCCTGTCATTTTTTTTCTCAGGCTGCCAAATATCACGGCCGGTAAGTCGTCAAGAATGTTGCACATCTGCTTGTGTATTCAAGTGTGTTTAAATATGTGTGTGTGTTGTTCAGATAAACCCTACGTTACGGGGACAAAATATCCCCACAAAGATGGCAATATCCGAAATCCTTCTCCTTGTGGGGACATTTTTGGTCCCCATGAGAAATTTGTGTATTCTTGAACATCTTGAGTCTTGATGTATTTTGAAAATGTAAAAATGCAGAAGGTTTAGTGGTAGGGTTAGTGTTAGGGGGTATCATATACAGTTTGTACTGTATAAAAAACATTGTCTATGAAAAGTCCCCATAAAACACGAAAACCCAACATGCTTGTGTGTTTGTTCAGGTGCCAGAGCAGTGGGAGAGATCTGTGGAGAGACTCACTCAAATCTCCGTCGCCCTCATCCGAGAGCGAAATGCTGCTCTCACTGGACAGCTTCTTCATGCCTGAAACTTAAGCAGGAGAAGATGCTTTACAGCAGACAACCAGGACTCACAAACACAGCGGCAGGAATCTCAAAGGTCAAAGAACATTTGGCACAACAAACAAATTACAGAAAGGAACTGAGTGACAACGGGATCAAATAATCGATGTTTGGATCAGTTGATTCATTTGTTTCAAGGTAGATTTTAAGATAATTCCAATTTTAAAAGCAAAATTGGCCTGGTTTGCCTAGGCACACACGAGCACAATTAAAAGAACCTCTAAACACTTACATATTTTTGTATGTAAAAAATGAATATAAACACTTTTTGTTGTTGCAGATGACAGTTCAGTTCTTTCCATAATTAGTCCAATATATATATATATATATTGTAATAAATTAATATATCGTAAATTTAGAGGTACAAAATCTTATGCCTTAATCACATAAATGAAAGCATATTCTGACATTGAGGCCATCTCTATATTTAATCAAATGCTGCCATCTTGTGGAGGGGAATGAAAATCAGCTGTTGTGCATCGCAGTTGTTATTGGATAACTATCTTGGATTTGACATCGTAACCTTAAAGGATTAGTTCACTACAGAATTAAAATGTCCTGATAATTTACTTATCTCCACGTTATCCAAGATATTAATGTCTTTGTTTCTTCAGTTGAAAAGAAATAAAGGTTTTTCAGGAAAACATTACTGGATTTTTCTCCACATAGTGGACTTCAACGGTTATCAAAGGTCTAAATTGCAGTTCCAGTTTCACTGCAGCTTCAAAGGCTCTACATGATCCTAGCCGAGGAATAAAGGCCTTATCTAGCCAAACCATTGTCATTTTCTTAGAAATATATATATATACTTTTTGTCTTGCATGTCCACGACTTCACGCATTACGACTTCACGGGCGTAGAATTTAGTAGGGAGACTACCAATATCCAGTGACACTGATATATCCCTAGCAATAATTTCGATCAAAACTTAAAATATATTTATATATTGATGTCCTTGTCCCCACCAATTTCAAAATCAAACCTACGCCACTGGGTCAGGCGGTAACCTGAAAATGTAGGGTAGGGTGAAAAATGTTAAATCGTCCAACATCGTTTTACCTTTTATTTATTAATTGTTTTTGTGAAGGATGTTTGACTTTGCACGTTTGCTTTGTAAGCACACTATGTGCTTTCGCCTATGTCAAGCGCGACCTTTTATCATGATTGTGTAATGCGTGGCACATCACAGTGCTAGTGTAAGACGAGAATTTGTGATATATATTAATATATATATATATATAGTTTTATTTTTTTTAGAAAATTACCAATCGTTTGACTAGATGCGACCCTTATTCCTTGGCTGGAATTGTGTAAATCTCTACATAGCCCTGATGACGTGTGATGTCTGCGGGTGAATGGATGTATGGAAACACATGTTGAATACAATGATCGGATGAACATCATTGGTCCTAAGACTTCTACAGACGATATATGTCCATGTTTTAATATTTATGACCACTTCTATTATTGATTTCTATCAGGATGTGATGAGAGTTTCAACCAGTATAAAAAAAGTGTTTATGAAACAATTTGCATACCCTACCTTTAATCAGCACAACTGTTTTCAACATTGAGCATAAAAATAAATGTTTCTTAAACACAGAATCAGCATATTAGAAAGATTTCTGACGGATCATGTGACACTGAAGACTGGAGTTTTACAGTATCTTTTACTTTTGATCAAATAAATGCAGCAGCCCATGATGTGAGTAATTACTGAAGAATGTAACTGACCCCAAACTTCTGAATGGAAGTGCAGATTTGACGATTTTCTAAAACAAATCTACAAATTTTTTTTTTTCCAAAGGAATTCACACGTATTTCTATATATTTCTCTCTTCCTACAAATACTAAACACACTGTTCTCTCTCAGATGCTGTTAAACTTGTGGTTTCTCTCTTTACCTGACCCTCAGGCGTCCTTACGTGATGCAGATCATCAGCTCACCAATTTGTTCTGTTGGCCGGCTTTACACCCACTCAACTGGAAAAGCCCTGGTGAACCACATTTCATAATTTTAGCTGTTTTTATAGCTTAACCCCTGTCTGACGAAAACAGGTTCCCGGACTATCCCCCTAATGTGCGTGTGCATGTGCTGACCTCACCAGACTCGTTCTCCTGTGCTCACCGCAGATTGATAATTGATTATGGCCTTGTGCTTCCAGTCCAATGAGCACGCGATAATTACGGCGAGTTGTTAAAGTCACTTCCTGCGTCGTTTCTGTCTGAGTGTTGGCTCAAAGTGAAGGCCTGCTACAGGCAAACCAATCAGGAGCTTGTTCTTGGCATGGCATGAATGGCCAACTTTTTTTTTTAACTTGACGCTGTTTACTCGTTCTTTGCTCGTCTTGATTTTTCTTCAATTTTAGTTCTAGCGAAAATATACAACTGCTTTAGGGCTTCATTCATTCAAACAAACAACGTTTCTGTCACCTTCTCTTGCATAACTTTTCTCTCTTATCCAAACTCTCTATTTTTTCACTGTTTAATTTGTTCCACATTTGTGTTGGGGGCATGTACACGTCTGGAGGTGAGTTGGTTTTCGGCTGTCAGCGGGACACTGAGAGCATATCTCTGTGTGAAGTCTGAGGTTTTGACTGAGATGGATTAACCTTTCAGATGTTCAGGAACATGTCATGGACATTTCTGGAAAGACTTAAGATAGAATAGAGTATTGTAAACCTGATCCTCTCACTCTTGCTTCGTTGATTATGAATCTGATGGACAAGGGGAATTGACCAAATCAGTATTTTTGAATGATGTCCATTAAGGCCAATTATAGAAACACACATAAACTAGCATTCAAAATTTGGGGAAGAGGATTGTTTGCTTTTGAAAAAAAGTCTTTAATGTTCACCAAAGCTTTCTTTTTGAATATATTTTAAAACGTAATTTATTCCTGTGATGGTAAAGCTGTATTTATTTTTCAGCATCATTACTCCAGTCTCATTCTAATATGCTGATTTGATGCTCAAGAAACACTTACTGTTATGTTACTTTTGTAATATTATGAATGTATTTGCTTTCGTTTTTTGACCAATTTAATGCATCCTTGCTAAATAAGAAGTATTCATTTCTTTTAAAGTGATCCCACTAAAGTGCACATTTAATAATTTATCCAAATGCCTTTATCAAGAGTACAGAAGCAAAAGTGTAAAATCTGTTTAGTTATCTCATGCTCACAATTGTAGACAGGGCATTATTGTAGCCAATAATATTTATCATATTATGATAAAGCCTGTAACTACTGTGGAAGTCTATGATGGATGTGTCAGAAATCACTGGCAAATATAATATTGATTGATTTTATCCCTCTGAATTTTTCTGTGTTTAATGTATCTTTACCCGCAGTACACACTAGCATCCTCTGAGGCTGGAGTACAATGGCACGTCTGGATTAGTTTTAGACAATATGATTCATGTTCATTTGCTTGTACAGCTCTGAGAGTTCGTGTGAAGCATTCTGAGAAAACCGCTAACCAGGAACAGCTGTGAAACGGTCAAGTAAGCACTCACCATATTTATGTATGAGAGAGGTTTCACTCATTTTCCTCTGGCAGAGCGGCACAAACTGCATGTGGTGCTGGTGTAGATGAAACTTACGACAGGGTTTTGCTCCATTCTTGACTTGGTTTCATTGGCTTCTTATGGTTTGCTTGTAGTTTTTCTGGTGAATTTTTCTGGCTTGTCAGACCAAGACAAATTCTTCCCTTGTGATTTGAGAACTGTTAGCATCTACTAACTATATATATATATATATATATATATATATATATATATATATATCAGGGTTTTCCATACATTCATTTATTTGTGGCGGGGTGCTTCTTCCTCCAGAATCAATCCGGAGTTGAATGGTTAATTTAATGAACACTATAAGATGTTAAACATATATACATATATACATACATACAGGGGTTTGGACAATGAAACTGAAACACTGGCCAATGTTGGAGGTTTCACATCTATATGCCTGGCGGCCAATCTTCAGAGTGAAGCACGGGTGGATCAGTGATGGTTTGAGCTCCAATATCATGACAATCCTGATTGTATTTGATGGACACGACACTGCCGAGGACTACCAAACCCTTCTGGAGGATCATGAGCACCTGATGCTCAAACCGTGTATCAGCATGATCATGCACCAACACACACAGCAAGACTTGTGACAGAAGGGTTTGATGAAGATGAAAGTGATGTTGAACATCTCCCATGGTCTGACAGTCACCAGATCTGAATATTATTGAGGTGTTTTGGAGGAGCGAGTCCACCAGCATCATATAGTGACCTGGACACTGTTCTGGGAGATCGAGGAACGGCTCATAATCCCTCTGGTCACTGTGAAGGACTTCTATCTTTCAATTGGTGCTGTATTTGGATGCAAAATGAGGCCCTCACCATTCTAACAAATTATTGTGTAGTAAAACCAGGTGTTTCAGTTTTTTTGTCCAACCCCTGTACATACATACATATATATATGAAGAGTTCAGATGCAAAAGCCTCTAAGTGCCATTTGAAATTTTCTTCTAGAATGATAATTTTTATCAAGCTTGTATATTTAAGTTCAGTAATTCCACTTAAATTACCATTAGTAGGTAATCTTCATTGCAATTTAAGTGAAATTACTGAACTTAAATATACAAGCTTGATAAAAATTATCATTTTAGAAGAAAATTTCAATTGGCACTTAGAGGCTTTTGCATCTGAACTCTTCATATATATATACACATCACAGCCACCGCACTAGATATTATTATTATTATTATTATTATTATTATTATTATTAATGTAAAGAGACGTATGCCGTGTTATCCAAGCATAATGGCAAGGAAAGACCCTTATTATTGAAAGTGGGGAGTCGACGTCATGGTACAGAGCCCCTCCCCTCTCCGCCATATTGGTAGGATTCCGGCGGCAAACCATGATTGTTTACATGTTGTTAACTCGGTAGTAGAGGAGGTTCTCTCGATTCCGCATTGTTTTACCATGCCTGGAAGTCGCTGCGGCGTTAAAAACTGCCCCAGTACCTCGCACGATTCATATGGAAACCATAGGAATAATGGAATACAGTTTTTTAGGTTACCAAAATGGACACAGCATCAGGGAGAGCAAGTCTCTGACCTGACGAGGAGACGCCGGATTGCTTGGTTGGCTGCAATAAGAAGAAAGGACCTTACTTTCGATCTCACCCCCCAGTCGATGAGAGTGTGTTCTCTGCATTTTCACTCGGGTACGTTCTCTAAAAAATGTCTTTGTTGTTGTCTCTTAAAGGGACTCTGTGTAAGGTTTACTCCCATCTAACGGTGAAATTGTATTTAGCATTCAAACAAATTGTGCACTCCAGCGCCTTGCTTTTTCAAATGCGACTTGCATAACTTATACGGTAGCCGTTATGTACCAAAAAGCTATGACAGGATGTCTTTTTTTAAAATTTGTATTAATGGCATTAAGTTGTCACATACAGAAAGGATCAAGTGCATATCAAAAAAAAGGATAAAAGGCTAGTTTTTTTTTTCAATTCATATTCTGCCATTATACTAAAGTCTCATTGCATTCTTTGTTTTCATAACATTAAGGGCTTTTGTAAACGAAAGAAACTCATTATGAAATACACAAAACTATGGGATCACTTTCAAAAACTTGAAAGTGGCTTTATATATATATATATTTATAAATGAATTTCACTGTGTAGTCTAAAGTATGAAAGAAATGTATGTACATTTTTAGAATAATTAATTTCTACATTAAAACAACAATGCGCCATCGCGACTCTCCTTTGATTTAAAAGCGACACTTCCGGTGTTCTTCCCACCAGAGCGATTTCAAAATGGCGGCTGCATGAAATCAGCGTATAGCAGTTCGAGTTTTCCTTCAGGTAAACAGTTTTGTAATTTCAAACAAACAAATTACTGACTGAAAAACATGAACTATTGTAATTAGTATTTATGCCTTCTTTATTCATCACATTAGTCACAGAAATAAATTACCATTAGGTTTCACAAAAGAAAGAGGACACACTTCTTCAGTCACGTCTATTTCTGTTTATTTGGTCACTTAGTTACAGGACTTCTTTCTAAATGTGATATAAATATATCCTGTAACTAAGTTACAGGACATATCGGCCTCTCGCCTCCCAGTTGGCTATAGATATTTTCAGTAAGAGAAAAAGAGGAAGCTCCCAAAAAGAAAGTTGCTTTATTTTATGGTAGTCAGGTACAAAGAGACGAGACGTAGGCTATCTGACAGATAAAATAAAAACATGATTGTGATAGCCTTTATGATTGTTCTGATTTCTCCAAACGTTCAACATGTATTTTTTTTACTATGTGCATACAATGCAATAACAATCAAATGCTCTATTAAAATATATTCTTCGAGGTTACAGAAAGTAAACTAACCTTGTTTTAGCGCATTCTCTACTTTACTCAATAGCTGCTAACGTTATTCATCAAATAGTTTATCCTTTCACTATAAATGTACTGTGACGTCTATTATAAAATATACAACCAAGCAAAAAAAATGCTTGTAATTAAGACTGTAACATTGACAAAGCAGGACTTCAGCATCTCTTTTGAAATCTTTCTCCTTCATTAACTTCAGCTCTTTCCACCTGGAAAAAGCTATCCCGACATTTCCTTTTTCGTTCAATTTGGGACTTTGGCGATGAGGATTTCTTCTCCTGTGATTTGGCATACGTATGATCCGCCATACAAAATAAAATTGCAATTCAGCTTTTAAAAATTGCTGGGTTTGACCACCTATGGTTTAGACAAGCGCCTCTCACGTCTCTGCACATCCGGTTCTGTTGCTTCAGCCCATGTGATGCTGGCTCTGAACGAAACCGCGTTGTGGAAACGTGTTTGCCCAGTACTTTTTGGTCCTCTCCGCTATTATAGTTTTTCAAGATAGTGGAATGACACAGAAGCCTCCGTGGACTTACCCGTCCCATGTATATAAAGATAATAAATTCTTCATTTACATTTATTTTAGATAAAAAATTACCTAAAAAGTTACACAGAGTCCTTTTAAAGCTACGAAGTGTAAGTTTCCTAATGTTGTTGCAAACACTTGTGCATCTTAAATTGCTGCCTAGCTAACTTTCTAACCAGACTGATCTCATGAAATGGCGTATGTATGACACGCCAATTCGTATTTCCATTTTTGGCATGCTATCAACACGCAAAATCGCTTTTCAGCGTGTTTATGAAAGCCGTTGACTTAACGTTACATTACTGTATAAATATATGACCTACCCCAACCCCGTCCCTAAACCTACCCGTCACTGGGGTTAATAGCATTTATGATTCTTCTCCTACGATCCTTGGAAAAAAAATATCGCTCCCCAGATGTAGATCTACATTTTGCTTCGTTTCGTTCAGACATTTAACGGCGTGTACATACACGCGGAATCACTCGGACATTTAACGGCGTAGACATACATGCATACACGTAGTATGCATACACGCATATATATAGTCTATACAGCTCAAAATGCGTATAGACTATATATACTTGACTCGAAAGTGGCGTGTATGTTTATGCAAAAGTCATGATGTCATGTTGATCTAAATGCTCAATGGCCAATCATTAATGTTAACTAAAAAGTTTACTTTTTTTTGTCTTGTGTACCTCCTGAGCCCTTTTGTCATACCATGAGTAGCATTACCCTCTTAGGCTTCATCTTTATTTTGCATGTGTTCTGCAATTGATTTGCCAGTGTAAAGTATTGATTACATAGATTTTTTTCATAATCTAATTATTCTGTTGTAGGCAAACCATTATATGAGATGACTAAAAAATAGTTGAGATTATGTTCATGACATTATGCTACCTTGTTTCCAGTTTAAAGCATTGATAACAGATTATTTCATGAACTAATTATTCTGTTGTAGGTAAACCATCATATGGGATGTTGGAGAACCACCCTGACTGGGCACCATCCCTGCGGTTAGGACACAATGATGTTAAAGAAACAGATGTAGCGAGATATCAGCGGCAAGTAAAGCGCAGGACCCAGCGTCTGGAGGGGCCGCCAGCCCAGGATTACCAGCAGCCGCTATCGCCAGCACATGATTACCAGCAGCCACTATCGCCAGCACATGATTACCAGCAGCCACTATCGCCAGCACATGATTACCAGCAGCCACTATCGCCAGCACAGGATTACCTGCAGCCGCTATCGCCAGCACAGGACCACCAGCAGCCGCCATCCCCAGCCCAGGACAAGGAATGTTGTCTCTGTATATTTAGACAAGAGGTTATCAACAGTCTTTTGGAAGAAAACAGAGAGCTGAAGCGGCAGCTTGATGAGTACCAGATGGATGAGAAATTGGTGGTGAAGATAACGTAGTGAAGTTTTACATGGGGCTTTCAAACTTTGCATTGTTCCAGACACTACTACTCACCCTCACTCCACATCTGCCTCAAGGTAGGATGAAGGAGCTCTCACCCTTCCAGCTTGTCCTATTGACTTTAATGGGCCTCAGACTAGACCTTCAAATACAGGACCTCAGCCATCTGTATAAAGTACATAGGACAACAGTCGCCGATGCCTTTCACCATACCCTTGGAGTGATGTACGCACAGCTGTGTCCATTGGTGCACTGGCCAAGCAGGGAATGCTTATTGAAAGTGGTTTTCTTAACAAACTGTTACCAGGTGACATTGTGCTGGCGGATAGGGGCTTTAATATGAGAGAAAGTGAGGGCATGATGTGTGCTGTTGTAAAATTACCTACATTCACAAGGGGTCGTGCACAGCTGGAGCCGAAAGATGTGGAGGAGACTAGGGCCGTAGCACATCTCAGAATTCACGTTGAGAGGGTGATTGGTGTTGTGCGCAACAATTTCAAATTCTTACACTCAACTGTACCTGTGCACATGCTTGTCAAATGTGAGGGTAAAAACCTAATACCTTTAGATAAGATTGGCACTGTTAACGAACATGGGCAAACGTGTTGTTTGAGTTCCTTGTTCATTACTTTATTTCTTTGAAATAAATGCTTGAAACAACTTGATATGTCTTAATAATATTTATTGAGAACAACATGTATGTATATATAGTTTTTTTTGGGGTTTTTTTTTGGGGGGGGGGGGGGCATAAAAGAACACAAAAAAGGGGCTAAAGAAGTGCTCAGTTCAAAGTATAAATATTTCCTTGGACAATAATAATAATTCATTACATTTTATATAGCGCTTTTTCTCGACACTCAAAGCGCTTTACATAGAGAGGGGAATCTCCTCAACCACCACCAGCGTGCAGCATCCACCTGGATGATGCGACGGCTGCCATAGTGCGCCAGAACGCCCACCACACACCAGCTTACTGGTGGAGAGGAGACAGTGATGAAGCCAATTTGTATAGATGGGGATGATTAGGAGGCCATGATGGACAAAGGCCACTGGGCAAATTTGGCCAGGATGCCGGGGTTACACCCCTACTCTTTCGAAAGACATCCTGGGATTTTTAATGACCACAGAGAGTCAGGACCTCGGTTTAACGTCTCATCCGAAGGACGGTGCTCTTTGACAGTATAGTATCCCCATTACTATACTGGGGCATTAGGACCCACACAGACCACAGGGTGAGCACCCCCTGCTGGCCTCACTAACACCTCTTCCAGCAGCAACCAGGCTTTCTCAGAAGCTCTCCCATCCAGGTACTAACCAGGCTCAGCCCTGCTTAGCTTCAGTGGGCAACCAGTCTTGGGCTACAGGGTGATATGGCTGCTGATATGGCTGGACGACATAAGTAATAATAATTAAAATAATAAAACTGTTATTAGTGCTAAAGAACAAAAAAACATTATTCAGCACAAGAAGGGCAAAACCATGGTGTGTCAGCGGAGGGTCAATCCACAAGCCCTACACAACTGAAGTGATACCACTGGACTGGGCAGTTCTCATTGTCGCAGGCCACCATTTCACCCTCCTCTGGTCCAGCACATAGACACCACACTTCCTTTGTTCTCTCGGCTGCTTTTTTGGCAGGCTTCTTTCTCGGCCTCTTCCCACCTACTTGTGGCTGTGGCTGTTGTAGTTCCTGTAGCCAGACTGATCTCATGAAGTAGCTTGTGTATGACACGCCAATTCGTATTTCCATTTTTGGCGTGCTATCAAGACGCATAATCGCCTTTCAGCGTGTTTATGAACGCCGTTGACTTAACGTTATATAAATATATGACTTACCTCAACCCCGTCCCTAAACCTAACCGTCACTGGGGTTAATGGCATTTATGATTGTTCCCTCACCATCCAAGGTAAAAAAAAGATATGACTTACCTCAACCCCATCCCTAAACTTAACCGTCACTGGGGTTATTGACATTTATGACTGGAGATTTGACTGTGTGTACAGACATGCGGAATGACGCGGACGTTAATGGCGTAGACATATACGCATACACGCGGATAGCTCAAAATGGGTAGAGATAACACGCCACCTGACTCGAAAGTGGCGTATATGTTTACGCAAAAGTCATGATGTCATGTTGCTGTAGCACACTGTGACCAGATGATGGTTGAGAGGTAGGTGGGATAGTGAAATATTACACAGCAAGTTCAGGGAGAGCCACTGACCTTCACAAAGAAGTCCTGTGCCTTTTGTAGTCGTGCATTCCAAAAAGCCCTATCTGGAGCTATGCGCAGAATCACAGTATCCATGTTGCAGTCACAAACAGTTGGGTCTGGACTTGTGTGTAATACTGGTGATTCTTTTGAAGGTGTACCTGACCATCAACCACATGTAAGCAGAAGTTACGGTCATCTGATCAACAAGCTTAAAGGATTGTACAAAACTTGTATTTTGCTGGGCATTTCACCTCTACGCAGCCTTTCCCACAACAGGTTACAATGGCATCTGGCGAGGCTCCTACCTGTGGGAAGGCTGGGTTGTCGATCGGTGTGCTGGTGTGCTGTTTGGGCAGTGTATGCCTGCCTAGCCGTCTCCTCGTGTCTGATTTCCCAACAGGTGGCAGCTCTTCCTGGCCCACGAGTTGGGTAACACACCCTCTTTATGATGGAGATTGCTCGAGAACTAAGGTCTATTCCATAGACGCTATGCATCGAGGAGGCTGTGACTCTCCCTACCCATGCAGCAAACCAAAGGGATGACGTGTGCCTGTTCCTCAGACATCTCTGCAACGATCTTTATGGTCTGACGGTGCTGTTACAGCGCAGGTAGGTCACGCCAGTTCCATTATCAGGGACTGTAGGCTCCGAATGGGCAGAACAGGATCTCTAAAAAGCTCACGGTAGTCAGGGAGCACACTCAATATGGCAGATCCTGTGCCTGTCATGCTGATTTGCCGGTAGAATATTGCCAGCTTTTCTGGTGGTGGTGGTGGTGGTGTTCTGGCCATACGTGTTCTCTGTGCTGGACTATTGTTGGTCTCACCATCAATTTGTCTGTCCAGAGATCTGTGTTTGTCTGCTGCAGATATAAAATTGATCTGTGACCAACCTCTGGTTGCACCTTGCTGATGCTGCTTGGGAGCTTCCAGTACACTGGCTCATCTGTGACCTTGGCCTTCTCTTTCAGCTGGACAAAGCCGGGATAATAACAGCCGGACTCAGCCGAGGTAATAACAGCATGCATTTGAGCATTTAGGGAGTCCGGATGGATGAATGGACATTTTTTTTTTTTAAATTATTATTTTGCCTTCGGATTAAGGATAGTTTAAACACACACACTAATGTTCATTTGGTTTTGGGGGAGTAAAAAAAGAAGAAGAAATGTATACTTATATTCAGCAAGAATTCATTGATAGAACTGATCAAAAGCGACAGTAAAGACATGTATAATATTTCTATTTCAAATAAATGCTGTTCTTTTGAACTTATAAGCATCAAAGAATCCATATTCAACATTGATAATAACAAGAAATGTTTCTTTTTAAGCTCCAGATCAGCATATAGAATGATTTCTGAAGGATCATGTGACACTAAAGACTGGAGTAATGATGCTGAAAATTCAGCTTAGCCATCACAGGAATAAATATTACTGATTTACTGTATATTTTATTTGATGACAATGATGACAAGTTTTGATACACATGTGAAAATGACCTTCTTTTGCTTGATGTATCTGGTGATCCTTCTTCTCAAACATGCCTGTGGTCTGTTGCATTGCCTCCTACTGTTCTGCAAAGATGATTAATGACTGAACATCACTCAAATTCAGCACTTCTACACTGTGAAATCTGAGAGACCCTCGCTCAGTTCTCTTGAGAATCGTCTTGCATGCCCAACACATGTAAATTTGTGATTTTGTGAAACCACACGCTTTGGTGTGTTTGTTTTGGCCATGTATGATATTTCACTCTGAATTGTTGTTTCTCAGGCCAAGTTTAAATATAGATGAAACATTAATAGTTGTATTTCCTCAACAAGGCCCTTGCACACTGAGTTCGAAATTCGCGTCCGAAATTTTCGCACGTTTAAAAAATAAATACGACCTCACGTTATGTCAATCACGCTTCCACACTGCCTCCGAAACTTTCGTCCGTCATAAGAAAAATCGAATCGGGTTCGATTTTCTGCGTTTTTCACATCCGTAGCAAGCAGTTTGAACAGTGTTTTGACAATTCAGAGCCACTGAATCACGAATACGAAAAAACGCATACGAAAATTTCGGACTCGGTGTGCAATGGCCTTAACTCTGATTTACTACAGAAAACATGTTATGAGTGTTTATATTTTAGTCCGTGCGTGCCATATCCGTAAATAGAGAAAAGTTGCTCCGGCTGCTTTGAGTTGTGTATGGTGTGTGAGTGTCAGAGGTTAGTTGTTACAACGAGTGAGAAAGATTGACAGGGAGCCGCTAAATCTCAAACCTCCGGGGAATAAGCAGAGGAGAGTCTGCTGGCAAAAAGACAATGTGAGCTTGTAATAAAACAAGAATCAACATTAGTTTGGTTTTTCAGAGATGACGAGAACTAGGGATTCAAAATGTAACAGTGATGCGGAGATGGCGTTTTTATTTACTCAGATTAGTAAGGTATTTTAGTGAACAGATAATTTGACATTTGACATTTGTAGTGTGTCTATTAATGGGTAAAGTTACAGTAAGATCTTCAGCTCGACATCCTCTCCATCTAAACTGGTTATGTCTTTTATCAGCAGTATAGGATAACCATATTTCATCACGCAGAGGCAAAGGGCCTGCGACTTCACAGATGTGATATTGTCAGCACACATTCGGGTGTAACAAAATCCTGTTTGACAGCCATTTAGGTCATTTCCTCTCTTTAAGACCCCATATTACAGCTCTCTAAAGGTAAGGACTGCCCAGAGTACAGTCCGACGAAATTGGGAATGTTGGGTAATCTAATTAGAGGGCAGGACGGGGGCCCATGGGGCCACAGACTGTGGTGAAGCAGGGAAACACTCGCCCTAAAACTGGACACCGCAGGCTCGCTGTGGTAATGTCTGAGAGGTTAATTCTTCCTCATGAGGAAAAACAGGACCTTTCCTGGACGGGACAGCCACATCCCTGCTCCGATGACATAGATGCAGAATGAAATAACCTTTGCGGAGTGAGTCAGTGTATTCTCGATAAGGGATGTCAGTATTTACTTTTACCTTTAATGGAAAAAGAATAGAAAAAATGTGCACTAAATAACGTTTAATGGGTTAACTCTAACTTACCGTTTAGTAAATGGGGTGGGATGATGCATGTTATTATATTGTAAAATACTACAAGAATTATGGTTTGGGAAGTATAACGAATTAATTATAATTCAACTGTATTAATTAAAATGATATTCAAGAAAATGTAGTTTTAGAGTACAGTTTTGTTAAAATATTTGTGTAAGTAACACAATTTTACAATGAAAAGACAATGAAAATTGCGTGGTTGATTTTTATTGCTTTTTGTTTATTTTGTTCATAGAAAGCCATGTATTCCTGTATGAAAATCCTGTTTTAGTCACCTTATTTTTAGTCATTTTAACGGGAATTATTTATTTGCAGCAGACATAGGCCTATACTGATAAAAATGTATAATACATTAAAAAAAA